ACCGTATGGAAAGCGAGCCCCGTCCCCAGGGGCCTACAAGACAGCCACCCCACCCGGATACAAGCCCGGGTCGCCGCCCTCCTTCCGAACGGGGACCCCACCAGGCTATCGAGGTGCTTCGCCGCCCGCAGGCCCAGGGACCTTCAAGCCGGGCTCGCCCACCGTGGGGTCCGGGCCACTGCCGCCTGCGGGGCCCTCGGGCCTGTCATCCCTGCCACCACCGGCTGCAGCCCCTGCTTCAGGGCCACCCCTGAGCGCCACGCAGATCAAACAGGAGCCGGCTGAGGAGTACGAGGCCCCCGAGAGCCCAGTGCCCCCGGCCCGCAGCCCCTCGCCCCCTCCCAAGGTGGTAGACGTGCCCAGCCACGCCAGCCAGTCAGCCAGGTGAGCAGCCAGGGCAGGTGTGGCGGGTAATGGGGACCGACGGAGAGCGGGAGCATACACGGGAAGGGCCTGCCGTTCGTGTGCTGTTCAAAGATCTCACATCCTTGCCTTGCCCTCAGCCTGCGGGGCTGGTTTTGGGGCAGGGTCACCGGGGGCCGCTCGGGCAGCTCGCAGAGGCTGAGCGAGCGCTGCCTCCGCGCCCGGCAGGTTCAACAAACACCTGGACCGCGGCTTTAACTCGTGCGCGCGCAGCGACCTGTACTTCGTGCCGCTGGAGGGCTCAAAGCTGGCCAAGAAGCGGGCCGACCTGGTGGAGAAGGTGCGGCGCGAGGCCGAGCAGCGCGCGCGCGAAGAAAAGGAGCGCGAGCGCGAGCGAGAACGCGAGAAGGAGCGCGAGCGCGAGAAGGAGCGCGAGTTGGAACGCAGCGTGGTGAGTGCGTCACCACGTGCGCCACCCTCCTGGCCCGCCCTCTGCGCCGCGCAGGGAGGCTCGAGTGGTGGGGGCGTCATTGCGCCACCAGTCTGAGAGGAGGAACTACTGCGACCCAGAAAACGGAGACCAAAGGATTCCAGCGGGAGGAATCGTTGCGTTCCTGGGTTGGGGGAAGGCAAGCTCAGGCCAGACTACCCTGTGCATCGTAGGGAGAGGCAATATCCAGGAGAAGGGGGTAAGGGAAGTTCCTGGAAAGTTGAGTTCCAATATCCTGTGGCATTTTGGTGTTCAGCTTCTGAGACAAATGAGCAGCTTGGGACCAGCCACCTCTTTCCAGATCTGCCCTTCTGACTTCTCTTCTTCCTGTATTCCACAGAAATTGGCTCAGGAGGGCCGTGCTCCAGTGGAGTGCCCATCTCTCGGCCCAGTGCCCCATCGCCCACCGTTTGAGCCGGGTAGTGCTGTGGCTACAGTGCCCCCCTACCTGGGTCCTGACACTCCAGCCCTGCGCACTCTGAGTGAATACGCCCGGCCCCATGTCATGTCTCCTGGCAATCGCAACCATCCATTCTACGTGCCCCTGGGGGCTGTGGACCCGGGGATCCTGGGTTACAATGTCCCGGCCCTGTACAGCAGTGACCCAGCTGCCCGGGAGAGGGAGCGGGAAGCCCGTGAACGAGACCTCCGTGACCGCCTCAAGCCTGGCTTCGAGGTGAAGCCCAGTGAGCTGGAACCCCTGCACGGGGTCCCTGGGCCGGGCCTGGATCCCTTCCCCCGACATGGGGGACTGGCTCTGCAGCCTGGCCCACCTGGCCTGCACCCTTTTCCCTTTCATCCGAGCCTGGGACCTCTGGAGAGAGAACGTCTAGCGCTGGCAGCTGGGCCAGCCCTGCGGCCTGACATGTCCTACGCCGAGCGTCTGGCAGCTGAGAGGCAGCACGCAGAAAGGGTGGCAGCCCTGGGCAATGACCCACTGGCCCGGCTGCAGATGCTCAATGTGACCCCCCATCACCACCAGCACTCCCACATCCACTCCCACCTGCACCTCCACCAGCAGGATGCCATCCATGCAGGTGAGACTTTGACTTCCTTGCCTTGGCCTGTTGGGGCCACCTTCCCCCCCCGCAAGTGATTGGGCTCTTCTGTTCCTCAGGCCAAGACGACCCTCCGCCAGTGTGGCATGACCCTCCTGAGATCACTGCCCTAATCTTTGCCTCCCTGTCATCCCCCAGCCTGTCTCCTCATACCCTAGTCTTGCTATAGAGACTAATTCCCCAGTGTGGCCCTCTTCAGAATCCAGCATCCCATCTGTGATAAAGGCCCAGTGGGAAACCTTTGAAGGAACACCACCTTTCTACCCTCACAGCCCCTCTCCCCAAGCCCTTTACATACCCATTTTCTTACTCCTCTGGGTTCAACTCTATTGTTGTTTCTTGCCATCTTATCCTCCCCTCCTAGGTGGAGGTCTTTCATGTTCCTCCCCATCTCTACATCTTTGACTTTCCAGAAAGAGCCATGTGGCTTTGGTTGTGGGTATCATAGGTGATAATGAACTTTACTTACTCTCCTGTCACTATATTGGTTATTGTCCAGAACACTGTCCAGTCTAGCCTTACAAACATGTTCATTCCAGGCTTCCTTGTGCTTTCTCTCTTAACCTCTCTCTTTCGGTCTCCTTCCCCAAACTTCTTATTTTCCATCTCCTCTAAGCAGCACTCTTCTCTTTTTACTTTTTCTCAGACCCCTTTGACAACTGTAATGTGTCCTCTGCCATCCATAAGTCCCTACTGCAGTAGGGTCTTGTCCTGTCCATTCCCTAGGCCCCTAGGTCTTCCATTGTGCCTCCGTGTTCCATTCTGGATCTCCCTGTGTTTGCCCATCTCTCTTCCCAGGCTTGGATCCCTGCACCCAAATGCATGGTTTCCCCCAAACCTGCCTTCTGGTGACACCTTCCTCTTCTCTACCCTCCAGCCTCTGCCTCGGTGCACCCTCTCATTGACCCCCTGGCCTCAGGGTCTCACCTTACCCGGATCCCCTACCCAGCTGGGACCCTCCCCAACCCCCTTCTTCCTCACCCTCTGCACGAGAACGAAGTTCTTCGTCACCAGCTCTTTGGTAAGGATGGAGGTTGGGAGTGGGGAGGGTCTAGTGAAAGCAGGGCAGAAAGGAGGAATTTGGGTGGGATTGGCCTAGTTGGGCTTGGGGAGGGATGAGGAGGTGCCCAGAGGAAATAGGAAGGGGAGTAGGAGGGCTGAGGCCTTGCCCCAGAGAGGCACAGGTTTTAGTGCCAGGCTAAGAGGGTTGAATTCCAACTCCCGCACGGGCAACTTGCAGGACTGGCTGTTAACCTAACCTGTTTAGTCTCCGTTTCTTCTGTATGTAAAGCGGCTGGCCTCTCTTCTGGTGCAGAGTAAGTACTCTGTACCCCTTCAGTCACGTGCCCCCTGCCCTTCCTGCCCACAGCTGCTCCTTACCGGGACCTGCCAGCCTCCCTCTCTGCCCCGATGTCAGCAGCTCACCAGCTGCAGGCCATGCACGCACAGTCAGCTGAGCTGCAGCGCTTGGCGCTAGAGCAGCAGCAGTGGCTACACGCGCATCACCCACTGCACAGTGTGCCGCTACCTGCCCAGGAGGACTACTACAGGTACTACGGGTACCCCTCACCGGGAGGGAGGGGACGTGAGCTCAGCCAGCTTGGCAGGGATGTGGGCATGGTACAGCTGGGCACTTGGCTCCTGGGGGAGGGAACCCTTCTTCCACTATCCTGCTCTGTGAGGGGTGTCCGGTCAGGGTCAACCTCAGTCCCTCATGTCTCTGCTCTGTACCTCCTCTTCCCTAGTCACCTGAAGAAGGAAAGCGACAAGCCGCTGTAGAACCTTCGATCAAGAGCACCCATGCCCCTGCATCTGGACCTTGGGGGCCTCCCTCCAGGCCTACCACCCAGAGCCGAGGAGGGGTGCTGCTCAGTTGTAGGGCCTCAGCAGCCGGGCAGAGGGAGGGAGGAAGGGACAGATGGAAGTCCAAGGCTCCTGTGGTGTGCAGCGCGGTGGGGAGGTGGTGGGGGTGGGGGCAGAAAGCGCACAGTATCTTGGACCAGGTCCTTCTCCCTTGTCCCCCTGCTTTCTTCCTCCCCCCATGCTCATCCCTCGGTGGCCACCGCCCCTCCCCCACCCCGTTGGTGTGATTATTTCATCTGTTAGATGTGGCTGTTTTGCGTAGCATCGTGTGCCGCCCCTGCCCTTCCCCAGTCCCTGTGTGCGCGCCCCCTCTGCGATGTAGCCCCTTGCCCCTCCCCCACATCAATAATTTATATATATAAATATCTATATGACGCTCTTTAAAAAACATCCCAACCAAAACCAACCAAACAAAACATCCTCACGACTCCCCAGGAAGATGGCTGTGACTGGTTCTTTGCGGGCAATGGGGGCGGGCTTGGGATGGAGGTGGGGGTCTCTGCGCATCGGTTCCTAGAGAGGTAGCTGTGGAACCGGAGAGACAGGCAGGGAAGTGGGAAGGGATGGACATTCTGGAGGAACTGAGTGTAGGGATCCTGGAGAGTTGGAGAGGGGATCTCGGAAGAGCCTGGGGCCCTGGAGTCCTGGCTCCCTCAAGCGGGTACTTCTGGTGCCAGGCCCTCCTTCCTCCCAAGGTTGGGAAATGGAGATGCTGGAGGCCTGGGACAGGCACACCTCTGACATGGTCAGGTATAAGAACGTTTCTGCCACTGGTCCCACGGCTAGGAGCTACCGGAGTCCTGACACCTTTCCGTGGCATAGCTTGAGAAAAGGTTATGAAGCGGAGGGGCAGGGGCTGTAGTTTCAGTGGGTTAAAGCGATTGCAACCCCATGGTCTGAGGAGGGTGCGAGTGACAATTTCAAGCCTAGAAGAGAAAAGAAATTAGAGGGCGTAACGCTGCAGCGAACACCCGCTACAAGGCCCTTCTAGGAAAGCGTCAGAGCTACTTCAGCTCCAAGCTTTTATTGCCGCGAATCAGTCTGCGTTGTTAAAAACTAAAAGGGTATGACTGGCTTCCTTCTCAGCCAATCAGCATCGAGCTCATTTGCATAGACTTGCAACAAATGTTCGCGAACTCTAGAAATGAATATGAGCAAGTTCTTTAGAATACTGTCTTGCCTTCTGAAAATTACAGTGTGCCTGCCTCGTTGTTTATACAATAGGAATTAGAAAAACTCCGCTCTGAGCTCACCCTCACCGATAGTGGAGTTCCTGGCCGCCCCGCCTTCTCCCCGGACTGTTAACTACAGTGTTACAGCTCTTTTAGAATTTGTCTAGTAGGTCTTCCGGTTTTTTCCGGAAGGCCCCCGCACGCCGTTGTCAACGACAGAAACATTGAGGTTTCACTGTGGGGAGCGTTGTGGGGGGTGTGTTTTTTTTTTTTTTCGGTGTGTTTTTCCCGAAGTGTTTTCGTTCCCGGCGAGTCTGAGTCGGACAGCGAGGACTACGCCGACAGGCTTCCGGTTTTGGCTGATGCGCTTCCCTTCTGATTCCCGCTCGGTCTCAGGGCCGCTCTAGGAGACGGCTCTTTCCTTGTGAACGCTCCCTTGGTTCCGCCGCACGTGCGTGTTTTGTTGCTGTATGGCGTCCTCCTCGGCCCAACCTGCGGCCCTGAGCGCCGAACAGGCCAAGGGTGAGAAGCATCCTGGTCACGGGGTGGGCCGGCTGCCTGCCTGAGGAGGGTGCGGGCGGAGGACAGGAAGCGGGAGATGTGGTTGCATCGCCGGGGAACGGGGGCGCGGAGTGCCCGTCCTTTCTCCTCCAAGAACGGTCCTTGCCCACTAGGGCGAGGGATGTGGGGGCCAAATTTTTCGGGTTACTACGGCTTCAGTGCAATAATTAACCCCCTGCCCTCTTCTCTGCGCCTTTGGCTGGGCCCGCTGGCCATGCTCCGACGCCTACCCCGGACGGCTCCCTGGGATGCATCTGCGGCACAGTGGTCCTGGCCGAGGTGATCCAGGCGTTCTCGGCCCCAGAGAATGCCGTGCGCATGGACGAGGCTCGGGACAACGCATGCAACGACATGGGCAAGATGCTGCAATTTGTGCTGCCTGTGGCCACGCAGATTCAGCAGGAGGTTATCAAAGCCTATGGCTTCAGCTGCGACGGGGAAGGTGGGTCGGACGGGGGGCAGGGAGAGGGCGTTGGATCCGTTGGGTCCCTGAGCGGTCGTCCTCTTTCTCACCACACGGCGGCAGTCACAATCTGACTGTTGGCGCTCAGAGCCCAGGGTCTGCTCTGAACTTGTACCCGGAGAAGCCTAAGTGCATTTTGTCGTTAACGTTAGTGATGATATGGTTATCCCACGTTAGCATGAGGAAGCAGACTCTAGCAGTAAACTAAGGGCCCGAGGTCTCAACAGAGCTGGACTTGAACCCCCTTCTGAGAGCTTTTAGTGAGATGTCTACATGACAGCATGCTTCTGCAGCCCCTCCAAGGTGTTTCAGCTAATCTCTGTTTGAGGGTCAGCAGTTCAATTCCCTTGATAAGATCATGGTGTTCCCCAAGGGTGTTTATTGACTCAGCCCAGCTGGCCCAGGGCTGGCCTGTGTTCTGGTGATGGACTTGGGATCTCATGGGTGTTCATACCTTGGGTTCTTGAGGCTAAATTGCTAAAATGGTTCACCTGAGGGTGAGAAGCACACTGCTTGGGTTATTTTCATTCACTGCATCCCATGCAGTTGTGCCTGGTGTAGACCAGGAAGTGGTTGATGCAGCCCACGCCGGGCAGAGACCTGCATGTGTCTTGTGTTTTGCAGACAGCTACCTGGCCAGAAGAGGAGCAGCCAGTGACTCATGCTAAGGCTGCTCCCTCCTGCCATCTTGGGCATGCCTGTCCCCTGGGGATGTGGGTTGACGCTCCACTCTCCCTTGCAGGTGTCCTCAAGTTTGCCCGCTTGGTCAAGTCTTACGAAGCTCAGGATCCTGAGATTGCCAGCCTGTCAGGCAAGCTGAAGGCACTGTTCCTGCCGCCTATGACACTGCCGCCCCACGGGCCTGCTTCAGGCGGCAGCGTGGCCGCCTCCTGAGGCATGGCCCTCCCCTGTGACACTACCTGGGAAGGGAACATGTTGGTGTTCCAGAGGATAATAAACGTGCCTGTGACTTAGCCTTTGCGTCAGTATTTTGTGACCCTGACAACAACCCCCACCTCCTGGCCCCAGATTCCCTTTGCCATTCCAGGCTGCTCCATTTCCCTGTCCAGGCCCTTCCTGTGCTTCTGGGCTCAGCTCCGCTCCAGGGCAGAGTGGGAGGATGGGCCAGCCCCTCAGCACCCTAGGTGGGTGTGTCTACACAGGCGGCACCTCCTCTGAGGAGTGGGGCTTCCCGGCTTTTCCTGAGGCCCATTGGCTTCTGTGCACCAAGAGACTCCCCATTGGTTGGTGTTCCCTTGGCCAGGGTTACTTCCTGGTCCTTGCCCCCACCCGCCCGCCCTTGGTCAGCTTGAGTGCCAGGTGGAGCTCCAGGTGGCTCCTCCCATCCCAAGGGAGGGAGGCCTAGGACAGGCAAGCAGGCCCTGGACTCCGATCGGGCTGGAGGGAGAAGCAGGCTGCTGTGGGCGGTGTGGGGCCAGTCCCGCTCCACCTGTCCCTTTTCCGGGGAGCATTAGTCCAGGGGCTTGCCGTTGGCCTAGCGGGCAGCATCGTGGAGGAAGTGGCTGAGTTCTGAGCGTTCTTCCTCACCTGGTTGGGGCCACTGTGCACAGCTGTGCCCCTGGCTTTGCCCCGCCCCTTGTGGCCCTCTGCCTTCGACTCCCCCATCCCTCTGGGGAGATGCTGTCCTGTGGGTAAGTCCCCTGCTCCACCTGGGTGCTACCGTCTCCTGTTACTTTGGGAGGAGGGGTAGGGTTCATGCTCACTCCTAACAGGTGTGAGACGATGAGTGCAGTCTGCTGCTGCCCCCTGCCCTGGGTCGGCTTCCTGTCCTACTGCCGCTTCCCCCAAGATGAGAGGACCCCAGGCTCTTGCCTCTCTGTCCTGCTCCCCCCTTTGCAATAGGACTTTCCCCTGTCAAACGTGTATTTATTCTCACCATTGCATTGCTCTCTCTGGCCTCTGGACCCTGCCTCTGCCGTCTGCTTAGGACCTGACCCCTGGGTAACTCACATCACCTGAAACATGATGTCTGAAGTGCAAACCTGAGACAGCTCTCTGTTCCCACCCAACTTCCCAACATCTGGCCTCTGTTCCACTTTCTCTCAGCTTCCCTTCCCTTCCCCTCCCCTGCATCATTCATTCAACACATACACACTGAGCGTCTGTTATAGGCCGGGTACCTTCTAAGGTGCTGACAATGCTGTTGCAAACAAGATGGGCATGGTTCTTGCTTTCATGGAGCTTCATTCCAGTGGCAGTGACGGACTACACAAAGAACCCAATCAATAAATTCTCAGAAGTGTTACACAGAAAACAAAACAGTTTCATGTGCTAGCAAGTGACAGGGTGCCACTGGCATCACTTGCTGGAGGGGTCAGGGAGGGGTTTCCTGAGGAGGTGGTGCGTGAGCTGAGACCTGGATGATGAGAAAGAGCCAGCCATGTGGTAATGAGAGTCAAGCCCCTGGTCAGAGGGAATGGCGAGTGCAAAGGCCCTGTGGTGGGAACAAATGAGACAAGGACAGTGCCTGCTGCAGAGTAAACCAGTGGAGAGGGAGCAGGGCCAGGCAGGTTAAGCCTTGTTGCAGTTTGGATCTTATAGTGAAGACCCTCTTGGGGTGTTGGTGTTTGTGGGTTGGTCCTCTCAAGTCCTGCTGGGTCTTACTTCTCACACTCAAGTCTGCCCTTCCGCTTTCCACCGCCTCCCCCAGGGCACACATCACAGTTAGCCCTGTGACAGGGCTCTATTTGAGTCTTCTGGCCCTCATCCTTCCCACACTCCTGCCACAGCTGTTTTCCTACCAGGTGGCTGGCGAGGCTTCTCCTGGTGCAGAATCCTTCCTTGGTTCTTCAGCCTGGCCTCATAAAACCCTCTGCAGCAGGTCCAGCCTCTCTGAGCTGCTCCAGCCACTCTTCTCTGCTCACACCCCAGCACGGCTCACGTGGACCCTGTGCCTGCCAGCTCGGTGCCTTTGCAGAGGCTGCCTCTGCAGGAACACCGGCCCCTCCGCTCCACTGTGGGCTGTGCGGTGCCCCCCCGACCAAGCCTCCGGCAGTGTGGTTGGTGTGGCGGAGATGGCAATAGTCTCTGGCGTCAGACAGCCTTGGTTTGTCCACCTTCCCACTCACTTGTGACCTTGTGCAAGTTCCTTAACTTCTCTGAGTCTTAGTTTTTGTTTCTAAAATTGGGGTAAATAAGTCCGACTAAATAGGGTTGGCATGTGGATTAATAATGTAAGGTAAAAGCTGCTGGCATAAAACCCTACTACATATTAGCTTTTTACATCAGTGTTTGGGAAATACTGTTAAGTGCATTTATCCGGTGGGAACACTGAGGCTAGGAAAGTTCATAACTTTCTAGAGATTATTTCACTTTGCTCTTGCAGACCACCTGTCTTTCTGCATCACTGTCCGTCTCAGTCTCAACCCTACTTCCCAAGTGAATAATTTTCTCTCCTGAGTTATTAGGTACTTCTTTTGTAACTCTCGGCCTCCTTGAGCCCGTTTTCCTCCCTTGAAAAAAATGGGAAAAATAATTCCCACATCACAGGGGTGTCTGAGGCCCAGATGGGGTTGTGTGTGTTCAAGTGTTCTGCAAACCCCACTTCTGCCGGGGTAGGGAGGTGGTTGTGATTTATTTTCCTGCCAAGGACAGCAGAGGCTGTACATCTTATCCTAGTGTCTGTCTGTCTGTCTTCTGGCCTGACATCTTGGCTTCAGAGAAATTTCTGCCTCTTCCGTGTTTCAGGACTTTCTGGGTGCCTGGTTAGTTTCTTCCCACCAAGTGGGTTTAAACCCCGGAAGGAGAGTGCAGCGGTGTTTAGTGCCGAGCGCAGGCCTGCAGCTTCATGTGTGGTCAGGATGGTGTGAACATGTGTGGGTGTTTGCACCGGACCAGGTATGTGTGTAGATGGGGATGGATGATGAGGTGCATGTGGTGGGACCATGTGCGTAAGTGGATGCTTGTGTGTGTGTGTGTATACTCATCTGTAGGTGACAAGCAGGGTGTGCAAGTGTAGGGCCAGGAGGCTGGACTTGTGACCACATGTGTGAATGGGTATTAATGAGCTTGTTTATCGGACACATACTCTGGGAGAAACACTTGCTCAGCTTTGAACATTTGGAGGCGAGTAAGACCGGCAGTGGCCGGCCCTGCAGCGGGGCTGATGGTGTAGACGCTGTGCCTGCCCTTGCTGTGAGTTGCTCTTGGTCCTTCAGGGTGGCCGTCCGAGACTGCAGGGGTGGTCAGTGTTAGACCCTGCAAAAAACAGAGCAAGCAAGTTCCCCAGGGCACCAGAAAGCGGGGTGAGGGAATAGGCTCTTTTTAGGGGGGAAAATTGATGTTTGATGTTTCAAAAAAGGATACAGTAGACATCACAGGAAAAAGAGACTTCTGCTGGGCTTTAGCACTTTGTTATTTTTTCTCTTCATTTTTTTTTTTTTGGAGGAAGATTAGCCCTGAGCTAACTGCTGCCGATTCTCCTCTTTTCGCTGAGGAAGACTGGCCCTGAGCTAACATCCGTGCCCATCTTTCTCTACTTTCTATGTGGGACGCCTGCCACAGCATGGTGTGCCAAGCTGTGCCATGTCCGCACCCGGGATCCGAACCAAACGTGCGCACTTAACCGCTGCGCCGCTGGGCCTGCCCCATTTCTCCTCATTTTTAATTGAGGTATAGCATACATAAGGTGCATGAATATTAAGCATACAGCCCGAGGAACGTCCTATTTATACATACTCGTGCATACACTGCCAAGATCAAGATGTAGAGCGGTCCCCGGACACCATGTCTTCTCAGAGAAGGGAAACAATAGAAAGAATATACAAATGCGACTTCATCAGACTAAAGAGCTTCTTCAAGGCAAATGAAAACAGGATTGAAACAAAAAAACAACCCACTAACTGGGAAAAAATATTTGCAAGTCATATATTTGACAAAGGCTTAATATCCATAATATATAAAGAACTCACACAACTCAACAACAAAAAAATCAAACAACCCGATCAGAAAATGGGCAGGAGACATGAACAGACATTTCTGCAAAGAAGATATACGAATGGCCAATAGACACATGAAAAGATGTTTATCATAGCTGATCATCAGGGAAATGCAAATCAAAACTACACTAAGATATCACCTTACACCCATTAGAATGGCAAAAATATCTAAAACTAATAGTAACAAATGTTGGAGAGGTTGTGGAGAAAAAGGAACCCTCATGCACTGCTGGTGAGAATGCAAACTGGTGCAGCCACTATGGAAAACAGTATGGAGATTCTTCAAAAAATTAAAAATAGAAATACCTTATGATCCAGCCATTCCACTACTGGGTATCTATCCAAAGAGCTTGAAGTCAGCAATTCCAAAAGTCCCATGCACCCCAATGTTCATTGCAGCATTATTTACAATAGCCAAGATGTGGAAGCAACTTAAGTGCCCAGCAACTGATGATTGGATAAAGATGTGGTAGATATACACAACGAAATACTACTCAGCCGTAAAACAGAACAAAGTCATCCCATTTGCAGCAACATGGATGGACGTTGAGGGAATTATGTTAAGTGAAATAAGCCAGCTAGAGAAGGACAATCTCTGTATCACTCCACTCATATGAGGAATTTAAACATGTGGACAAGAGAACAGATTAGTGGCTACCAGGGGAAAGGTGGGGTGGGGTGGGGGGTGGGCACAAAGGGTGAAGGGGTGCACCTACAACACAACTGACAGACAATAATGTACAACTGAAATTTAACAAGATTGTAACCTATCATTAACTCAATAAAAAAAAAGATGTAGAGCAGTCCCAACGCCCCAGAAGTTTCCCAGAAATTGCCGTCTCCCAGTCAGTTTATTAACTTTTATAAATGTAATCATGCTCGTGCTACAACATTCACAAAGGCATGAGGGAGAAGTAAACCTCCCTCTCAGCCCTCTCCTCCGGCCCCCCAACCCCTGCCTCCCTTCTAGGCGAAGCTCCTAATGGGAGTTTCTTATGAACCCTTGCTTGGGCTTC